GTGGATAGTCTGATACCCATGAGTATATAGGCAGCACAGTGTGCTGTGAAACAAAAAGGACACAAGTTGGGAGGGGGACCTGGGAGGAGTGGAGGGCGAATATGATTAAAATACATTGTATGCATGTATGAAACTCTCAAAAATTAATACAAATATTAACAAGAGAGAAGTCCAGGTATGGCAGGAGGATCAGGAGTACAAGGCCAGCCTGGACTACAAAAGACTGTCTCAAAAAAAACCAACTTTAAAATCCAAATTATATGCATTTTAAATTTAAACACATCTTTAACAGTTTACATAATAGAACAAAGTAGGAAAGAACATTGAAGTAACTAAGTCTGACACAACCCTAACAGAATAAAGTAGGCTCAAAGAGGTTTGATTGACTTACCTGTGCATCACATGGTCACATGGATACACAAGGACTGAAAACTGTATCTCCTCACCTGTGCCGTGTCTACTCAGTTCCAAATATTCTATTGTCTAACCACATGTAACTCATGATTTGCCAAACCCACTGTTCCTTTTTTGTTTTTTTATTTAAAAATATTTTACTAGCACTTTCTTTAAGAAGGAACATGATTACATTGAAAGACTTTGTATAGAATTTGGAAAGGAGTGAATGGCAAGCTCAGATTATGAAACATTGACAAATCTGACATTCCTGAAGCTTTAAGTACAGTTTTGTCAGTAAACAATATTCAAAAATTATAATATAGTTTCAAATTTATATTTGAATAATTATATATTTTTAGTTTGAGAATTATATCAGTTATTTCAGTACTTTCTATTTTTTATTTTTTTAAATTCCCAGACTGTGACTTTTTAATTTTTTATGTGTATAAGTGTATTACCTGCATGTGTGTAAGTGCACCTGTGTCATGCAATGCCCATGGAGGTCAGATGTCGGATCACCTGGAACTGGAGTTACCGACAATTGTTAGCCATCATGTGGATGCTGGGAATCAAAACCAGGTCCTCTGCAAGAGTAGTCAGTACTCTTAACTGCTGAGCCATCTCTCCAGCCCCCGAGACGGTGATTTTTATCTTTAGAAGTTCAATTACAGCATAGGTAAATGTATTATGGGGCTGTAGAAAAGTTAACAAAAAAAACTAATGGCAAACCAGTTGGTGGTGCCAGGTAATGGGAGAGGTCCAACATCAAGGCCCGGGTATATGTGTGGAGTGAGGACCACAGCTGGGCCTCAGGGAAAGTGGGAGGTTCATTCCAGAGAATCAGTCTTCCCAAGACCAGAATCTGCAGATAACAGAAGCCTCCTCTGTCCCCAGCCTAAGAGGCAAAGCCTCAGCCTGGGACCTCAAGGAAGAGGGATGTGGGGGAATGTAGTCACTCAGAGAAGACTGAAACCGCTGCCCAACATCAGAAAGTTCTCCATCCTCTATTCTGCTCCACCATCAATCAGCCTACTGCCAGAGTAGTGTGGAACTGTGGCTCACGGTATAGTTCCAAAGCTTCAGACTCATGTGAGGGGACTCCAGCTGCAGGTTCATGGGAGGAGACCACAACTGCAGGTCACAAGGGGGGCTCACTGCTCCAGCTCATAGGAGAGGACCACAGCCTCAGGTTCACAGGAGGCTGGCCTTGAACTCATAATTCTCAGCCTCCAAGTGCTGGGATTACAGGCTTTTATCTCCATACTGGATCCTAGAAGAATCTCTTTTCCTTTTAGAAGACCTCATCTTTAAAAAGTTTTAATAAAGCCAGGTGTGTTAGCACATGTCTTTAGTCCTAGCACTTGGGAGGCAGAGGCAAGTGGATCTTTGTGAGTTCAAGGCCAGCCTGGTCTACATAACAAGTTCCAGGCCAGCTGGGGTTACAGGGAAACCCTGTCTCAAAAAGACAAAAAAAAAGTTTTAATTAAAAAATTTTATTTTTATTTATGTGTACGTATGTGTGCGGGTACACGTGGAAACCAAAAAAGGACATCAGATCCTCAGGAGTTAAGAGTTACAGGCAGTTGTGGGCTGTCTGACTTGTGTTGGGAATCAAACTCAGGTTTATCTGGAGGAGCAATAACTGTAACCTTTGACCCCAGGCCTGGTTTATGTGTGTGTTGCCCCCAGGCATTATATCCCCTGGAACTGGAGGATCTGAGTTCTCTCCATGCCCCTAAACACTTACCTTAATCTAGAAGTGATTAGGAAAAGTGCTCTGGGGCTAGAGAAATGGCTCAATGGTTAAGAGCACTTGCTGCTCTGGCAGAGGATCTGGGTTCAGTTCCCAGCACCCACATGGTGCCTCACAACTACCTGTAACTCCAGTTCCATGGGATCCAATGCCCTCTTCTTACTTCCATGGGAAACAGGCACACATGGTACACATACATGCAGGCAAAATAGTCATACATATAAAATAATAATTTTTTTTGAGACAGGGTCTCCCTGTAGCCCCAACTGGCCTGGAACTCACTATGTAGATCAGGTTGGCCTCTGCCTCCCAAGGTCCATGCACCACCATGCCTGGTGTAAGAATAAAAAAAAAAAAAGTTGTTCTGCCGGGTGTGGTGGCCCAAGCCTTTACTCCCAGCACTTAGGAAGCAGAGGCAGGCAGATCTCTGTGAGACTGAGGTCAGTCTGGTATCCATAGTCCAGGCCATCTATGGTTACAGGGAGACCAAAAAAATGTTGTTATTTTGGGGCTGGAGAGATGGCTCAGTGGTTAAGAACACTGGTTGTTCTTACAGAAGACCCAGGTTTGAATCCCAGCACCCACATGGCAGCTAACAACTGTCGTAACTCCAGTCCTAGGGGATCCGACAGCCTCTTCTGACCTCCGCGGGCACTGCACGACACAGGTGCACTTACCTACATGCAGGCAATACAAGCATACACATAAAATTTAAAAAAAATAAAAAGTTTTAAAAAGTTTTAAAAAAATGTTCTATCAAATTTACTCTCCTAGGGGAGTAGAAATTTAAGCTAATTTAATTTAGCTTCAAGATGAACTTTTTAAAAGTTACCCTTTGGTATTTCAAATTGATCTCCCTGTAGATAAGTTTTGTAGTTGCCAGGCAGGATTTGGGGTTTTCTAGTCTGACCCCACTTCCTGTTCTCTCTCTGCTTCCTGAGTGCCCAGTGGCTTCACAGCTCTGCTGCTGTGCCTTCCTGCCATGATGGGCTGTATCCCCACGGAAACTGCAAGTCAAAGTAAACTCTCCCTTAAGTTGCCATTGTCAGAATATTTTATTACAGCAACAGAAAAGAAACTCACTCAATAGGTAATAAAAAACTCATAATTTAGATTGCAAAAGTTTATTGAAATGAAGCAATAAGCCATACATTTGGTTATCTTTGCCATAATAATGTATCATTTTGAAAAGTATTTTAAAAATATATAACAAATTATATTTAAACCAGTACTAGAAAAGTAAATTAAGAGTCTACTTAAGGCACTTCAGATAAAAGCTAATCTTAAAATTTCCACAAAAGTAACACTATCTTAAGCAGAGAGAATCTGCTTTCCATGGATTTTAGCCAGGTTTCACCTTTCTCCTTACTGAAGAAGACTGTTGCTCTTAAAGGGAAACAAAACAGACAAAAATCTGATCAGGGGAGATGATCTGGAGTCCCACAGCAGGAGTGATCCCTGGGTCAACTGTATGAATCAGGAGGTCTTCATACACATCTCACAAGAGTCATAGCATAAATTTATTTTGGCCAGGGAGAAGTACAGGAATAGCAGATAAAGAATTCAGAATCACTCAAGTTATAGGGGCATAATTAACAAAAATTAGCTCCATTAAAGAATAAATGGTCAACTGTATTGTCTTATTCATCAAACCTACAACCAAAAACCCACAAAACCCCACATAAAACATTTCTTCTGGGGGCAATTACATCTATGTCCTTCCACAAATCTCTAGCATATAAGACATTGATACCATATGGGAGAGTTATTAAATAAATGATCAATAGCAGGAAGCAATCACAGTATATATTTTTGTTGTTTTTAGGACAGGGTCTCATGTAGCTAAGGCTGGCCTCAAACTCACTATATAGCCAAGGATGACCCTGAATTCCTGATCTTCCTTCTTCTATTTTCTGAGTGAAGTGGGATTACAGGCATGTACCACAGATGCTTGGTTTATGTGGTGCTGTGGACTGAACTCAGGGCTTTGTGCAGGCTAGGCAAACACTACCAACCGAGTTACATGCCCAGCTCTCTATCTTTTAAATGTAATATTTCTAAGACATTTAATTTTTTCACAATTATAATTCACATACTTTTCTTCTTGTTCTGCAGTGCTGGGGACTGAACCCAGGGTGTCACACATGCTAGTCAAGTGCTCTACCATAGACCTACATCCCCAGTCTCACACTTTCATAATATTTCAGAGCATTTCAGATTATTCTTCATAACTACAGTGGAGGCTATAGTTAGGGGACTAGGGTAAATGGTGATAGAAGCCGATAACCTCAGCACTTGTGAAGCTGCGACATGAGGTTCACTATGAGTTGGACGCCAGCCTGGTCTACATAGGAGGTTCACGACAAGCCGGTGCTACATAGTGAGGCTTTGTCTCAAAAAGGCAACAAACAAAACAGGCACCAGGTTTCAAGAAACACTTATTTAAAAAAAATAAAAACAAAAACAAAAGACAAGGTTTCAAGAAACACTGCTTAAAAAACAAAATAAATCAGTCAGGCATGGTGGTATATGCCTTTAGTTCCAGCACTCAGGAGGCAGAGGCAGGTAGATCTCTTTGCGATTGAAACCAGCTGGGGCTATAGGGAGACACTGTCTCAATCCCCACCCCCAAATAAAATAAAATTTTTTAAAAAGATAAGGTTTCAAGAAATCTTTTTTTTTTGGTCTTTTTGAGACAGGGTCTCCCTGTAGCCCCAAGCTGTCCTGGAACTCACTATGTAGACCAGGCTGGCCTTGAACTCACAGAGATCCACCTGCCTCTGCCTCCCGAGTGCTGAGATTAAAGGCGTGAGCCACCACGCCCGGCCCATGAAATCTTTTTTCTGTGGTATTGGGGATTGAACCCAGAGCACTGCTCATGCTAGGCAATCAAGCACTCTACCATTGAGCTACATCTTCGACTTGAAAACATTTCATTTCTATACATAGGCAACAAATCAGTATTTCATGATTTTCTTTTCCCATTCTAAGGAAGTCGTTTCCCTAAACACAATTGAGATTATTTTTCTGTCGGGTAAAAATGAAATAAATGACAATGTCTAACTAATGTTCACAAACATGTGAGACCATTTATAAGTTACACTGAGTTTTAGCAATAAACTATATTATTATTAGAGAAAAGCCACTTTAAATAAAACTAGTGACAGAATGAATCTGAACTCTTTCCACATCCAACATAGCTATGGCACACTCATGCGGAAATTATAATCCTGTATTTAGAGGTACTTAATGTTTATAAGAGGCGTAAGTAGCTCTGCATTTCAGGAGGAAAGAGCAGGAAGGAGGCTGACTAGTCTTTCTAAGGCTACAGGTGCACTCTGAAGATTGTTTCGTTTTTCAGAAGGCTACACAGCACATGATTTCTTACCCAAAAGAAAAGATTCGTAGATTTGTAAAAACATCTGAACAAAGGTGGAAAAGCAACAATGGCTTCCAGATGCAGTTATCTATAACAGGCAAAGGTGGGAATACCTGGGCAGAACCTTCATTCTCCACCACTGGGTAACATAAAAATCATATGACTAAAAGTTAACAAAAGTAGTTGAGTTTTTCTCTAAGTAAAACAAAGTAGTAGTTTTAAAATTTTTATGATGTACTTAATTCTACAAAATCAAATGTTTCCTAAGTTCATCAGGAAGGGAAGGTGGTTAAGAGTGGAACAATTGACAAATACTTCATGATCTTGACAAGAAATTGCTTGTTAAGGCACTAAACATCTTTGGTTAAATGATTAACTATTTAAATCACTTGAAGAAAAGAGGTAATATCAAATACATGGTTGCATTCTTCTTCAAATACACACATTTCTTGTTTTTTAGTTTCTATTACCAGTGTCCACACGTCTCTGGAATCCTTCTTAACTCATCAGAAAGCTGAAACAAAATATATATCAATGCATTAGTCTCTGAAAGAAAAGTAGCCTGTACTTCTAATAAACATGTAGTATGTTAATAATTTTAACTTCGATGTAAGATGACTTGAGAATCAATAACAAAAACTGAAACACTGAAAAACCCTTTTTTTAGACAGGGTCTCATACAGCTCAGGATGGCCTCAAACTCACTATGCAGCCAAGGATGATCTAGAACTTCTGACCCTTCTGCCTCTATTTTAGCAGCTCTGGGATTACGGGTCTGTGCTATCATATCTTGCTCAGCACTCATTATTTACACAGCAGGACAATGTATTAAAAATGGAAATTTATGATATCAGGTGTGGTAGTGCATGCTTTTAATCCCAGCACTCAGGAGGAAGGGTAGGTGGAGCCAGCTGGGGCTACAGAGAGACCTTGTCTCAAAAAAAAAGAGAAAGAAATGATGTTAACCAATACTCATACTATAAAACCAACACAGGCCATCATCCACCATTATGTAGGAATATTTCAGTTGGCTAGATCAGTAAAACCAAGAACCTATAACCATATCAATTTCCTTACCTAGTAATGGAGATCTCTATAAATATGAACATTTAAAGCTAACTAGACCTTTTCTTTTTGCTTTTTTTGGGAGACAGTCTCAACACTGTAGCCCAGGCAGGCCTCAAGCTCCTAGCAATCACTCTGCCTCAGTCTCCTAATGCTAGTATTACAGGCAGCACCACTATGCTGAGCTCTCACTCCTTTTTGTAATAAACAAGGTCTTGCCAAATGTGAGGATGCATGCTTATAATCTCAGCACTCAGTAGGCAGGAGGATAGCAAACTGGTCAATCAAGACTATACAGCAAGTTTTAGATCAAACCGGGTGACAGTAGGACCTTGTATAAAAAAAGAGACACTATGTTTCTATGGTGTCTAGAATGGCTCAAACTTCTGGGCTCAAGTGATTGATCTTCCTCAGCCTCTCAAGTACAAAGCAGCAGGTACTAAAGGTGCTGGGTTAGATCGAAAAGTCAATTTTTTTGGTCTTTTGGAAACAAGGTCTCCCTGTAGCTCCAGCTGACCTGGAATTCACTATGTAGACCAGGCTTGCCTCAAATTCACAGAGCTCCATCTGCCTCTACTTCCCAAGTGCTGGGATTAAAGGCATGCACCACCATATCTGGCTGAAAAGTCCATTTTCAATGTTCTAATAATATCTACAAATTGGCTTTTAATCAAATGTTTTTTATGCTATCTAAACCAGCCTTGAAAAGAAGTTCTAAAAAACATTATAGAGCCAGCTGGGCAAGGTAGCACACACCTTTAATCCCAGCACTCAGAAGGCAGAGGCAGAGGCAGGTGGATCTCTGTGAGACTGAGGCCAGCCTGGACTACATAGCGAGTTCCAGGCCAGCTGGGACTAACAGGGAGACCCTATCTCAAAAACAAATAAGTAAATAAACAACAAAAAGAATAAAATCTTAAAAAAACATAAATAAGACTCCTCTTCGCACCCCCCTCCCAAGAAACCACCACACAAACTAGACGGGCATGGTGGTCCATGCCTCAAGTTTAAGGAGAGTCTAGTGACAAGCCAGTGAGGGCTACATAGTCAGCCCCCTGTCTCAAAAACAGATACACATTCCACAAAAATGAACTCTCACAAAACAAAATACCAACTCCAAAGAGGGTATGGTGGTACATTTGACACCATGACAAACAAAATGCAACAAAAAGGGAAGCCTGAACAGTCTAGAAGTGAAGGACTAAAAACCTAAGCAACAAAAAGATTATAAAGTAGTATCAACTCTAATTTTAAGTATAGGTAAAATAAGAATGTACCTGTATGGATAGCCATGATATTTAGATCTGAAGATAGATAGCATCCAACTGAAGAATAATACAACAAGTCCAATGCCAGCCACACACATCACTGTGGAAAAACAAAAGGACAGTAACATCACTAGGGGACAAATGATGATCTACACTTCCAATAAGGGAAAACAGAGGGCTATCATCTACTAAGAAAAATCATTACAAGCATTTTAATATAGACTTTGAGCACAGGAGTTAGGAGGAAGAAAGTCACCCTGGAAGAAAGCAAGACAAACCAGAGAGTGTGGGTACTGGGCTGCTCACCCCCAGTTTTCAAGCTTCCAGAGTTGCATGTATATAAGTGTGTCCAAGTCATGCACGGTCCACGGAGGCACAAGAGAGTGTCAGATCCCCTGGAACTGGAGTTATGGATGGTTGTGAGCTACCATGTGGGTGCTGGGAACTGAACCTAGGTCATATGCAGCCAGTGCTCTTAATCAATGGCCTAAAAACAAATCTTTAAGGGGCTGGAGAGATGGTTCAGTGGTTAAGGGCCCTGGCTGCTCTTGCAGAGGACCCGGGTTCAGTTCCTAGCACACACATGGTGGCTAACAACCATTCATAACTCCAGTTCCAGCAGTCTGATGCCCTCTTCTGGCCTCTGTGGGCATTGCACACATGTGGCATACAAATACACATACAGATAAAACACTCATACACATAAAAAGATAAATATATACAATGCTAATTACTCTTGCCTTTACTTCTCCTTCACATCTCCCATTCATGATTCAAGGACTTTCTTCTCTCCTTAGAGACAAAAGTTATGTAATTTGGGAGTCTTTTAGATAGACACTGAAGGGGTACTCCAATGGCCTCACCCTGCGGCCCTGTTCAGCATGGAAGAAGCCAGTGTGGTTTGTGTCCCTATTCTCTATTGGCAATTTGGGTAACCCCTTCAGAGGATGGCGTGATAGGAACAGGAGGTAGGAATTGGCTAGGCAATTAGGGTAAAGAGACCCCAAAGAAATGTAGCCAGTTTCTTGACTAAAAGTCAAAATGTCCTTGGGCCTGTTAGCAACATACTCTGTTTCAAGGCCAAAAATGTCAAAAGTATTTGGGAGCTTGTATCTAATCCTTAAAAGATTTTAGGGTTACCTCTTCAGAGGGGGTAATGTTGGAGGGGAGGTAGTGGAAATGGATTTGATCAAAACATCTTATATGCATGTATGAAATTCTCAATAAAGTTTTTGTAAAAATTAAAAAAAACAAACCAAACAAAAATCTCAGAAGTAGTTGAAATTATGGTACTTTTAATACATGCTGCTACAATGTTTTACAACTTAAATTCATGGCAACATTTTTAAATGACATTTCCCCAATAAGGAATACTGAAACGGACAATTAAAAAAATCATGTTTGGCCAGGTGTGGTGGCGCACGCCTTTAATTCCAGCACTTGGGAGGTAGAGGCAGGCGGATCTCTGTGAGTTCAAGGCCAGCCTGGTCTACATAGTGAGTTCCAGGACAGCTGGGGCTACGGGGAGACCCTGTCTCAAAAAGACCAAAAAAAAAAAAAAATCATGTTTGGACCAGTGAGGTGGCTCAGTGAGTAAGGATGTTTGCTGCTAAGCCTGACAAACTGAGTTCAATACCCAGTATCCACATAATAGAAAGAGAAGAGTGACTCCTACAAGTTGTCCTATAACCTCCACATGGAAGCTGTGGCATGTGCACACACCCACAAAATAAATCTTTAAAAAAATTGCCGGACATGGTGGTGCACGCCTATAGTCCCAGCACTTGGGAGACAGAGGCAGGCGGATCTCTGTGAGTTCAAGGCAGGCCTGGTCCACACAGTGAGTTCCAGGACAGCTGGGGCTACAGGGAGACCCTGCTTCAAAAAGACCAAAAAAAAAAAAAAATTAAGGGGCCGGAGAAATGGCTCAGTGGCTAAGATTGCTTGCAGCTCCTGCAGAGGACATGGGTTAGCTTCCCAGCACCCATATGGTGGCTCATGGTCAACTGTTTAACTCCAGTTCCAGGGAGACCCAACACCCTCTTTTTGGCCTTTGCTGGTACCAGGCATGCACATGGTACACAAACATACATATAGGCAAAACACTGATACCCATTAAAAAAATTGAAAAAAATAATTTAAAATATTTTAAAATCACGTATGTATTATATATTGACTGGATAATATTTTTTTGTAATATGAAAAGTAATTATTTTATTTTGAGACAGGGTCTTACTATGTAGCGCTGGCTGGCCTGGAACTCATATAGATCAGGTTGGCCTTGAACTTAAGAGATCTGCATGCCTCTGCTAGGTTTAAAGGCATGCACCATTGAGCCTGGCAAAAGATTTTAATTCAGCAAAATAAATATTTCTTAAATATGAAATTCAATATGTCCATCTTTTTATAGAAAATAAAATAAACATTACAGTTTAGATAGGTTAACTATGATGATTTAACATTTTAAAGAAAATTCAGCTTTGTGTGGTGGCATGCTCCTTTAATCAGAGCATTCAGAAGGCAGAGGCAGGTGGCTTTCTGTGAGATCAAGGTCACCCTGGTCTATATAGTGAGCTTCAGGCCAGCTGGGGCTACAGGGAGACCCTGTCTCAAAAAGACAAAAAGAAAATTCATTAACCATGCTAATTACAAATTATACTGTAGGCATCTTTCTGCAACAAATAACAATGTATGAATATTTTGTTTCTTTGAGACAGGGGCTCATGTAGCTTGGGCTGGCCTCAAACTCACTATGTAGCAGAGGTTGGCCTTGAACTACAGATCCTTCTCCCACCACCTCCCAAGTGCTGATATTATGGGTGTATGCCACCTTGCCCAGCTGTTTTTTTTTTTTAACTTTAAATCCCTTTAATAAGGTGCTCTGAGGAGTGTGCAGGATGACAGGCAGAGGTGGAGAAGGTGGTACACCTTAAGCTCCATTCAGTAATTCATCAGTCATCTTCCAGTAGCTGGATCTTGCTGGGATCAAAACAGTTAAGATTCCATGATGGGGAGGCTGTTGGCTTCTTGGCATTTTATAAGCTGAGCTTCCTAGCCGGCCCACTCTTAAGTCCTCCAATCAAGCAGCTAAGCTGCAAAGTAGTGCAAAAGACCAGGACTATCAAAAAGCCAAAGAAGAAGGTTCATAGATTCCAGATGTCCAGAGGTTCTTTCTTATTTTTGAGACAGTGTCTCATTATGTAGCCCTGTAAGACCAGGCTAACCTTGAACTCACAGAGATCCACCTGTCTCTGCCTCCCATGTGTGCCACCACACCCAGCTAGGTTCTTTTCACAGATGTTTTGTCTTCAGGTTCTGGGTCTTCCTGCCAGTGCATGGCTGGTTCTAGTGGCTATTTTCCCACCACAATGGACAGGGCAATCACAGCCCTAGAGGAACCCAATTCCAAGGGAGCACTGGCAGTCCTTGCATTGCTGTAGGGAGCACACAAACTTAACAGTCTAGTCACCATGACAGACTGTGCTGCAGGGTCTCCAGGTCTGTGACACAGGGTTTTACTACATAGCATAGGGTGGCCTGAATTGGCAGCAATCCTCCCATCTTAGCCCCTGGAGTGCTAGGATTACAGACTAAGCCACCATGACCAACAAATTATGAATTTTCTATGCTCCAGGGGCACATGACCTTGAATTCCTGATCCTCTTGGCCTCTACCTCCATGGGTGCCACCACACTCAGTAAGTTCCTGTTCATTCTCTTTCATTCATCTTCCCTTCCCTCCCTCCTTCCCACTTTCTATCTGCTCCCTTTCTACCTTGCCCCTCTTTGAAGCAGGGTCTCAATATATACCCATGCCTGGCTTGGAACTTCCCTTTTTTTTTCTTTGCTTTTTAAAAATATTTTATTTATTATTTTTATTTTACATGTATAAGTGTATTACCTGCATGTGTGTAAGTGCACCCATGTTGTGCAATGCCTGAGGAGGTCAGAAGTGGGTATCAGATTCCCCTGGAACTGGAGTTACCGAAAGTTATTAGCCTCCATGTTCTGGGAATCAAATCTGGATCCTCTACAAGAGCAGCCAAGGCTCTTAACTGCTGAGTCATCTCTCCAGCCCATTTTCCTTTGGTTTTTTGACAGTCTCACTACATAGCCATGGCTGGCCTGGAACTTGCTATGCAGACCAGGCTGGCCTCCATCTTACAGAGATCCACCTGCTTCTGCCTCAGGAGTACTGGAATTAAAGGCCTATGCCACCATGCCCACCCCTTAGTTCCAGTTTTAAAAGTGAGTAGAAGATACACACACACACAGAGATTTGGCAGTGCTGGGGATTGAATCCAACGGCACACCCATGCAGGGCAAGCATTCTACCACTGAGTTATATTCCCAGCCCTGCTCATAGCTTTTTTTGTTATTGTTGTTTTGTGATATTGGTAACTGAATCTAGCACATGCAAGGCAAGTGCTCTACCACTGAGGTATAGCCCCAGACCTCTTTTTACTCTTGAGACATGGTCACAATAGTTGTCCTGGCCTCCATCTTACGCTGTAGCCCAGGTAGGCCTTCAACTGGTGATCCTCCTATTTCAGCCTCCTAAAACGTGTGAGATTATAGGCCAGTATCACCAAGCCTGGTTCCTACACACAGTTTTAAACATGTTTTTACTGATGGGACTGCAGATGCAGCTCAGTTGGCAAAATGCTTGCCTAGCATGAACAAATCCCTGTGTTCAATCCACAGCACTGCATAAACCAGGCACAGTGCCACATGTATGTAATCCCAGCACTCAGAAGGTAGAGACAGGAGGACCAGAATTTTAAAGTCATTCCCAGCTAACTAACAAGTTTGAAGCCAAGCAAGGCTACACAAGAGCCTGTCTCAAAAAAAATAAACAAGAGTCAGGCATGATGGAGCATACCTTAGGAGGCAGAGGCAGGCAGATCTCTTTGAGATTGAAGCCAGCCAGGTCTACATAGTGAGTTCTAGGCCAGCTGGGACTACAGGGAGACAACAAAACGAAAAAAAAAACCCAATAAACAAATAAAAGGTTCTTGTAAATGGAAAGAGACACTAAGCAGAAAGGATTGCAAGTTCAAAGACCACTTGGGTTACACAGCAGACCTTGTCCAGAAACAAAAGAAAACAAACAAAGCATGACTTACTCCTTCGCTTCCCAATATCCATGTCAGAGGTAGCAGCTTCACATAAAAGCACCATCCCTAAGGTAACTCCACCATCTTAGAAAAATTGCTTAAGGAGAAATTCATGTAGGCACAAAAAGACATACCATTTTACTATTCCCAGTTTCTCATGAAGAAAGTTATGACGAACAAATATATAAAATTTCAAATCAATTTTAAAAATTATCCAAACTAAGTAATCTTGTATTCATATAGTACTACAAGTATTTACCATAAGATAAAATTTAAAAAATTAAAGTTCAGCCAGGCATGGTGGTACATGCCGGTAGTCCCAGCACCCAGGAGGCAGAGGCAGGTGGATCTCTGTGAGTTCAAGGCCAGCCTGGTCTACATAATGAGTTCCAGGCCAGCTAGGGCTACAGGGAGACTCTGTCTCAAATTGAGCAAAAAAAAAATTAAATTTGAGCCAGCTATGGTGGCAACGCCAGCCTAGGGTACATGAGAGCCTGTCTAAAAAAATTCACCACCCAAAGAATTAAGATTGAAAAATCATTCAACTTTAATAAAGTAAAACATATATATACATAACATACATGTTTTACATATATACATAACATATATATATATATATAAATGTTTCTTGAGAAAAGGTCTCACTGTGTTAGACCCAGCTGGCCTGGAAGTTACTATGTACACTAGGCTGGTCTCAATCTCAGAGATCTGCCTACCTCTGCCTTCCTGAGTGCTGGGATTAAAGGCATGCACCACCATGCCAAGCAAACATACATTTTAAAAAACCCCATTTATATATAAAATGAGCTTTTGTGAAATCATAATTTGAAATAAACTGCTGTTTTCCAACTTTATACATATTTTAAAATATTAAGTAGTTATTTTCAATATTTCAACACCTTCCCTAAAAGGACATACTTGAAATATGCACCATTTAAAGAGAATAATGATCATTTTCTTTTTTAAGTTGTTATTTTATTCTTACAGAGAGAGGGTAGAAGAGACAAGAACAGAAGAAGGAAGTAGTTTCATTCACTTAAAAATTCTGTAAGAGGCGGCTGGAGAGATGGCTCAGCAGTTAAGAGCACTGGCTGCTCTTTCAGAGGACTTGGGTTTGATTCCTGGCACCACATGGCAGCTAACAACTGTTTGTAACTCCAGTTCCAGGGGAATCCCACACCCTCGTCTGATCTCCACAGGCACTGCATGAAACAGGTACACCTACCTATGTGCAGGCAAAACACTCATAAACATAAACTCAAAGGAAACATTGCCTCCATGCTTCCAAATGAAGTCAGCCACAGTCGAGTAGGACCTTTGACTTAACTTCACATAGATGGAACTGGTAAAAGAAAAAAGCCAGGGCTTGTAGCTGATCTTCTAAAAATTTAATGGTTTCCTGCAGGACTTTTTGCTGCTTTCTCAGCTGCTGATTTTTGGTGAAGAATACTTCTAGTCTTTGTGCATCTAAAATTCATTCCTTTTTCAGTTTGGTCACTTTTATTTGTAAACCTTGCACTTCTTTATCATGATACTCTTTTAGTTTTGTCCAAAGTTCCCTGAAGTCATTGGCTACATCTGCAGAACTGGGGCTCCCACAATTGCTTCCAGAGATGCTCATCTTGCTTGACAGGCTCCGCCCTCTACTTGCTTAATGTTTTTCCCCCTTTCCTATAACATTACACAGGTGTGAAGTTCTTTTTAGATAGCTGAAATACCAGCCTCATTGAAGAGTCTCCGGAGCCCCAGGAGGCAAGTGGACTTCCTCCAGCCTTGCAGGGCCAGCAGCTCGCCGATGCCACCCCCCCCCCCCCCGCCCGCCACATCACCTCAGCAGATTGCCAAGGGTAGGGGACTGCCTAAGCCACCCCGGAGTGCGGGAAGGCCCGAGGGCAGCAGTGTGCCCGGCCACCCCAGAATAGTAATCATTTTCACATGGAAAATAATTTCTCAAAAATTTCTTCACAATTTCAACAATTAACCTTTATAGTACAAATTACAACCAGGTTACCAGATTTTGTCCTACTCCAATAAAAGCAGAACCCTCAGTTGCCATGACATCAGTCTTATTCAGTTTAATAACTGCAACTACAAAAATCAAGAGAGAAATACCAATGCAAACAGAAGGCATGTCGCATAGCTGGATGATAAAATAAGCAATATCAACTTTTAAAGCAAATACAGTACCCTTCTAGCAGAAAAGAGAAAGTCACCTGTACTTTAATGATTACTAGTAACAGGAAAACATTCCCAAGTTAATTATGCACATGGTGTATACTGTATGTGACTACATGTGGGCATAACTAAGTAGAAAGAGGAGTTTTCAGATGAGGCCTTTAATTTATGATTGGCTCTATAATTTGATTATTCATTATTCATTACCTTCTTGTACACTTTTCAATAGCCTCTTATTAGGAATGATATTGATTTGCCATGTTTGTTTCTTTTTTTGTTTTATTTATTATTTTTATGTGTATTCGTGTATTGCCTACATGTAGGAAAGTGCACCCGTGTCATGCAAAGCCCAAGGAGGACAAGCAGCTGTCAGATCCCCTGGGCCTGGAGCTATGGACAGTTGTTAGCTGCCATGTGGGTCCTGGGATTCAAACCCGGGTCTTCTGCAAGAACAGCCAGTGTTCTTTACCGCTAATCTATCTCTACAGCCCGTTTGTTTCTTTTTAAAACAGGTGTCACTGTGTAGACTTGGCTGTCCTCAAACTCAGAGAGCCACATGCCTCTGCCTGGGATAAAGGCGTGTGCCACCATGCCCAGCTATTTGCCATGCTTAAAAAAGATTTTACATTTATTTATTTGAGTGTGAATATGTGTGTGGGTTGCATGAGTGCCACGGCAGATGTGTGGAGGTTAGAGGACAATGTGGAGGAGTCAAGTTTCTCCTTCCACCATGTGGGTCCCAGGAATTGAATTCAGCTTTGTCAAGTGTGGTGGCAAGCGCCTTTATCCGCTGAGCCATCTCATCAGCCCCTTGCATGGTTTTTTACTGCTAAGCCAAGTCTCTTCTCCAGCATTTTTTCTTACTGTAGCTCTTTATATGCAGGTTTCCTCTGAAGGGTGCCAGGGATTGAACTCAGGGCTTTGAACATGCTAGGCAAGTACCATACCACTGAGCTGTATCTCTAAACCCAACTTTGTTTATAGTCTATCAAAATAATGCTTCCTTTAAAATATTACCTAACATTCATCTTCCTCTAAAATTCTAACAATTTTCTTTCCTTTGTTAAAAAGATATAAAGTGCTTCCTCTTATGGGCAGTCTTCCACCTATCAATACGCTAATAAACCTGGCTTTATCAGCCTTAAGTTTTGCCTCCAGGTAGTCTTCAGCTTATTGGGCCAAGAAGCACAAAAGCAATAGGATTTCCAAAGGGTATTATTATGACCTGCATTAGCTGAGCAGCCCCAACCAAATGCTGTCCACAGAATACACGACTGTGAGAAAATAGGCAAAATAAAATGCAACAACAAAGACTTATTGTAAAAGGATACTGAACAGAAGAACAATGTGTGTTTCAGCTACAAACTGGGCTTGGCTGCTTCCATGGATATAATTCTGGGGAGGGGAAGAGAAAATGGAATATTTAAAGCATACATTAAATTCTAGTAGCCAGATCCTAAAATAGGCTACATTATGAAGTTATTAATTCATTTGATATATGTGAGCATGTACCATACTTTGGGTATATGGCACTTTTCAATAAATACATTTGATCAATAATAAAAGCTATTTCTCTATTATCTATTTACTTGTCCTTTCTTTGCATTTATATTGTTTTTTAACAACGAAATGTATGAGAAAACAAATATTTTAGTGTATGAGACCATGAGGTAAAATAATGTAGCCTCCATGAAGACAGGGACCACATTTTTCCAATTTGTCACCATATCTGATAGTACCTAGCACGATGCCTAGAAACAACAGATGCTCAGGTACTTGATTAATTGTTCTATTTAGTTGAAGACTGACTTTCATTCTTTGCCAGCCTAGTGAAAAGGACAAATGAAACAAAGAGCTTCCTACTTTAAAGGGCACCACATGGTCTTATTGTAACTGAAGCTTGTTAACATATAGATTGAAAAATCAAAACTATATCTAGTTCCTGCATATGCTGGCACTGGGCTCACAGGATACTAAACATTATATTAACTTTGATATAAGACACAAAGAAACTCCTGACTTCTCTTACCACATGTCCTGTGTGAGGATTCTTATGAGCATAAGGTGGCCCTCTTATATGGTTCCACATTTGACCAGATGTCATAGCAAGCACAAAACACTAGGAAACAAAAACAATGGAATACTCATGGTCCAGCTAGTCCATTCTGATTAGATTAGTGGGTACATGAAAAGCATTCTTTCTTAGGTAATAAACAACGTTTTTTCAGATAAATGATATTCTTTATTTTATTTGTATTTTGTGTGTATCAATATTTTGCCTGCATGAATGTAAGTGCACCTGTGCATGCAATGCCTGGGCATCTGATCCCCTGGAACTAGAGTTACAGATGGTTGTTAGTCACCATGTGGGTGCTGGGAACCAAACCTGCTCTGTAAGAGCAGCCAGTCCTCTTAGCTGCTGAGCCATCTCTCCAGCCCAGATAAATGATTTCTTTATTAAGGTTTATATTTTACAAGGATCACAATTCAACATTTATTTTGGCTTTTTTGTTTTTGAGACAGCGTCTCCCTGGAGCCCAGGTGGCCCAGAACTCACTATGTAGACCAGGCTGACCTCCAACTCAGAGGTCCGCCTGCCTCTGCCTCCCAAGTGCTGGGACTAAAGGCGTGCGCCACCATGCCCGGCTCAAAAGGAATTTTAAACTATAACTAAATTGAGGAGTTTCACAATTGACTACTGAAAATACCTTCTACAATATTTTCAAAAGAATCATAAAGTGGGGTTCAGGAGCTATCAGCAATTGACAGCTGCTAGAGAGGAAGTGTCAGTTTTCTTTAAAGGTGTGACTGGCTCTTGGCTGGTCACCCATGCTCTAAAGCAGGTTCCACACCCCCAAGTATTTGAGCAATACAAATTGAACTACAATGTGGTTGGTTGGGGGTGGTGCACCAATATAAAGTTGGGTGAATAGGGAGGTGGGTGGATCTGGGAGAGGGAGGAATATGATAAAAATACACTGTATAAAATTCTAAAAAATTTAATATAAATATTTGTTAAAAAAACCAATGGGCTGGGGAGATAGCTCAGCCAGTCACATGCTTGCTGTATAAGCATTACAACCTAAATTTTATCTCCAGAACCCACATGAAAAAGTGAAAACACTTGGGTTGGAGAGATGGTCCCATTGGTTAGGAGTGCTTGCTGTTCTTACAGAGGACTGGAATTTGGTTCCCAAACCCATATTGGGTGGCTCACAACTACCGTAAATCCAGTTCCAGGGGATCCAACATCCTCTTCTGGCCTCTGCAGGAACTTGAATGTATGTGTGCATACATAGCCACATAAATATTAAAAACCCAGGTGCTGTGGTATGTGCTTGTAATACTAGTGCTGGAGAGGAGGAAACAGGCAGAGCCTTGGGGCTTGCTGGCTATCCAGCTTAGCCCTAATTGGTGAGCTTCATGCATAGTGAGATCCTGTCTCAAAAAATCAAAGTGGACAGCTCCTGAGGAACAATAACCGACAAGGACCTCTGGCTTCCACACACATGCACACATACATCTACACAAGTGCCCACTTGCACACACATTCACACACACAAAACAAAATCAAGTCAAATCAAAACAAAACAAAAGAACCAAATCTGGAGATGGCTCAGTAACTGCTTGCTGTGAAAACAAGAATACCCGAGTTCAAATCCCCAGCACCCACATAAAAGTTGTGTATGGCTGAACATGCCTGTAACCCTAGAACCCATGCTGTAATGTGAGTTGGTATTCATTCCCCATCCAAAGTCTCTAAACTATACAACTTTTTTAATGTAAGCATGTTATTTCTTTTATAAAGCAATGCTAATTTTTAAAAAAGCTAGGGGGACTGGAGAAATAGCTCAGCAGTTAAGAGCACTGGCTGCTCTTAAAGAGGACCCAAGTTCAGTTCCCAGCACCCACATAGTGGCTAATAACGAACTGTAGCTCCAGTTCCAGGAGATCGATACCCTCTTCTGCCTCTGTGGGCATTCTACAACACACTTGCCAATTACACACATACAGACAACACACACACACACAAAAAGTTAGGTGCAGTTAGGTGCAGTGGTATGTGCCTGTAATCCTAACATTAGGGAGGCAGAGACAGGAAGATCTCTAGGGATCACTGACCAGTCAGTCTAGCCAAATTAGTAAACTCCAGGTTCAGTGAGAGATCCTGTCTAAAAAAAAAATTAGGTGCAGAAATAACTAAAGAAGACACCTACTATTGACCTTTGAACCCCTTTGAAGCCCAGACATATACACATGAGCATGTACAAACATAGACACAGATACAAATAATAATAAATTATTACAAGTTTTTTCAATTAATTTTTTTCTTCTATAATTTACTTACCAAAGCTGCAAGGGCCCATCCAGTTTTGTTAAAGAGGAATTCCATATTGCTTCTTCGCAGATACACAAGTCCACCAATAACAGCCAGAAGTAACCCCAACATCAGGGGTCCAGCATAATTTGGAGGTCTAATTATTCTAATCTAATTGGAAAGGAGAGAAAAAACATTTTTTTGTCTTTTTGAGACAGGGTCTCCTTGGAGCCCCAGCTGTCCTGGAACTCACTATGTAGACCAGGCTAGCCTCGAACTCACAGAGATCCACCTGCCTCTGCCTCCCGAGTGCTGGGATTAAAGGCGTGCACCACCACGCCCAGCAAGAAAAAAACATTTTAAACTATAAAGTTTATTTTTAATTAGTAATAATGAAAGCAGTCAAAATGTGCTTATTTTCATGAAAAATAGTTTTTTCCCATTTCATTCCAATCAGTCTACACTATATATTATATGAGATATAACAGGTTTAATATTCCAGCTAATCAAAACATAATACCTTTTAGATTAAGAAATATTTGACAAGTGCAGCTAGATAACCCATATGTTTAAGTCAGAAAAATGGTTTCCAGACTGAACTCAAGGGGTATTTTATAATTTTACTTTTTTATCAGGATAATTCTGTCAAATCCTACTTACGAAAGAACTGTCAAATTATTCCATCAGTGGTATGAAGACAAGATCAGGTATGGTCTCCAGTAAGAGTCAATGAAGACAATGGTAAAATAACTTTTTATAAAGTAGGGAAACTTACATTGACATCAGTTCTATCTGCGATCCACCGGGCAATCTGCTCAGCTGAAAACCCCCGCACTTGCAACTCATATGTATCACCTCTTTTGGGTTTTCCTTTTGGAGGAAAGTTGATGAAGGTTGGAGCTGAATTCATGTTTAGCTGAATAAAGAGGAGCACATGGAAATATTTGTTATCAAGAAAATAATCTTTTTAAAACATATTTTATTATTTTTATGTATATAAGTGTATTGCCCGCATGTGTGCAAGTGTGCCAGTGTCGTGCAATACCTGTGGAGGTCAGAAAAGGGCGTTGCATCCCTTGGAACTGGAGTTATAGATGGTTAGCTGCTATGTGGGTGCTGGGAACCGAACCTGAGTCCTCTGCAAAAGCAGACAGTGTTCCCAACTACTGAGCCATCTCTCCAGCCTCCAAGAAAATAATCTTAATGGAAAATAACAACTTTAAATTTTAGGGCTTCTTTGAGATAGGGTTTCACTGTATAGCTCAGGCCAGCCCTGAATTTGCAGCAATCCTTCTGCCTCCACTTCGGGAGCACTAGGATTACAAGCATGCACCACCATGCCCAACAGAAATTTAGGCTTCTCACATAGAGGAATATGTTTAGGTAGTTTCAATGATTCAACAAAGGAGAGTGTGAAGAAGGCTTTCAAGGCTACCTGTGAATGGAAAAATTCCCACACCACAGTTATTTTTGGTTAATAGTCTACAAAAAATGTAAGTATACAGTCATTACAACTAAAATCATTTTACATAGCAACAGCAAGCTCATGATATTAAGGCAAGAGGATCCTTAGTTCAAGAACTGCCTGAGCAATACATTTTGAGTTCAAGGTCAGCTAAGACAACTTAGTGAGACCCTGTCTCAAGAATAAAAAAAAGCCAGGTGCAGTAGCACATGTCTTTAATTCCAGCACTTTAAATACTGAGGTAGGAGGATTATTGTAAATTCAAGGACAGCCTGTAGTACACAAGTGAGTACTAGGCCAGCCAGGGATACATGGTCAGATACTGTCTCAAAGAAAGAAAGAAAATTTAAAAAATGGAGATGGTCAGTGTTAAAGTGCACCACTACCACACAAACACACAAAACTCCCCAAAACTAATTTCTATAACTATCCCAACCTGAGTACTAAAAAAATGGGAAAGCATCTGGGGAGGGTGTAAGGACTGAACTCAGGGTTTCAAACATAAGTATGTACCCTGCCTTTGAGCTTACCCACAGATTGGAGAAAGCAATTTCTTTTGGAAGGGGTTTGTAGGCATGACTTTTACAATATGGATATAATCTGGACTAAGGACTTTTACCTAACCTTGCAACCAAAAAATTATAATGCTCACTGAGCCATCTGCTTCCTCTTGGGACCTGGGCATGACCTTAATCCCTCAAGACCCCTCCTGGTTCTCCATCCAAGATACTGTATGAATGTTTGTATGCATGTTTTACATATCAATGTGCTGAAAGCAGCCTGCATTTCTCATTTCAAACAGTGAGACTCAATATGTGTTACATTCTAGGCCTACATATTAAAGGACAAGATTTTCTGATAAGGTAAGGGTGGGTCCTGACTTCTTCCCCATTTCAAGCTGGAGATAATGTTTCAGTAAAGGATGAGCAAAGCTCTTCCTGGAACAAGAGCACAGTTCTGAGAGACATCTGAAGGAACAGTGCTCAGCAGTTCAGGTCCACTTCTGGCCTTGAATCAAACGGTAAGAGTCAGGCTGTTTCTTAATTCAGGCATAACTGCAATGTGGCTCAAAAATGCTAAAAGCATTCCTTTTCTTTCTGAGACAAGATCTCATGTAGCCCAGGCTGGCTTTGAACTGATCCTCCTAGCCCCACCTCCCAAGTGCTAGGGTTACAGGAATGTACCACCACTATACTGGTCTGCAATTATTTTTTAAAATTTATCTTTATTATGTGGATGAGGGTCTTGCCTGCAAGGATGTAACTGCACCTTCTGCATATGTTTGTGGAGGCCTCAAGAAGGCATTGGATTGCCAGAACTGGTATTATGAATGGTTGTTAGCCATCGCGTGGGTGCTGGGAACTGAACCTGGGTCCTCTGGAAGAGGAGCTAGTACCCTTGGTCACTGAGCCATCACTTTAGCCCAGCCTGCAATTTCTTTTTTTTTCTTTTTACATATTTTATTTTTATTTTATGTGTATGCATGTATTGCCTGCATGTAGGTAAGTGCACCCTGGACAGAGAGGCTGCTGGATCCCCTGGAACTGGAGTTATGGACAGGACAGTTGTTATCTGCCATGTGGGTGCTGGGATTCAAACCCAGGTCTTCTGCAAGAACAGCCAGTGTTCTTGCCTGCTGAGCCATCTCTCCAGCCCCCACAACCAGAGTTCTCCGCCTGCCTCTGCCTCCTAAGTGCTGGGATTAAAGGCATGTGCTACCACGCCTGGCCCGATGATACGTGTTTTTAATAATATGAAGTATAGCTGGGCATGGTGGCACATGCCTTTAATCCCAGCATTTGGGAGGCAGAGGCAGGCGGATCTCTGTGAATTCAAGGACAGCCTGGTCTACATGACAAGTTCCAGGTCAGTTAGGGCTACAGGGAGACCCTGCCGCAAAAAGACCAAAATAAGTAAATAAATAAGTAAATAAATAAATAGGGTAAATAAAATATGGAACATAGGAAGACCAGGTTTGGGAAATGGGACACAGGATTTTAATTTGGGACATAATCAAGTTTTAGTCTGGAAGTAATTTGTGTGAAAATGTATAGAAAGGAATTATCCACAGACCTTTCCTTTCACTTTTTTTTGTAGTACTGGAGACTGAACCCGGGGCTTCATACATTCTAGCAAGTGCTTGTCCACTGAGCCCCCAGTCTCCCTATTACACTTTTGAGACAGGGTCTTTTTTATAGCCCTGGCTGACCTGGAATTAATTATGTAGACCAGGCTGGCCTTGAATTTAAAGTGATCTGCCTGCCACTGCTTCTCGAGTGCTGGGAATAAAGGTTTGCACCACCATGTCTGTCCCCTTTTATGTTTTATACAATAATTATTAAGTAGAACAAGCTCAACGATGAATGAGATAACCTTATAAACACATGGTGGCACAAGCCTGTAATCTCAGCACACAGGAAGCAGAGGCAGGAAGGACTGCTACAATTTCAAGGTCAGAGTAGTAGCACAGCAACTTGTAGGCCAGTCTAGGTTAGGTATCACATTCTGTCTCAGAAACAAGAAGTACAGGTATGAGAAGTCATGATTGATAAAACAAGGAGATAATGTGGGCATGACTTTTACTTAATCTTACAAACAAAATGTTAATCTTTTCTTAGCTTGTTGATAATGTCAATAAGCCTAGTAGGCCTTCAGGTCCTCTTGTAACCTAAAGTGTATAACTTTTAGTCCTTATGACCCTTCCTTGCCCATGACCCCAAAACAATGTATGAATGTGTGTTTTGCATATTTAAGAAAGATATTTGCAAAGAGATGAACATTATCCCATTTGTGTTGCAAACAGATGAGATTAAAATGATAATGTCTGCTTGTGGTTACGTACATGTTGGTCTACATCAGGCTGTTTTTATTCAGGCATAACTGTAATGTGCCACCAAGCAGTAAATGCTGCAGGTGTAAAATCTAGAACTCTTGAAAAAAGTTCACTGAATAAAAAGAAGGATCTATTTCACTAAGACAAACAAGGCAGGTACCTGCTTCTACTAAAGACTTCAGTATTATGTAGTGGTGATACAAAGGTGAGAGTCACGTCATATTTTCACTTTTATTTGTATGTATATGTGCACATGTGTGCAGGTTCGTGTGTATAGGTATTGATCCTAAGGAGTCATCCACTTTGTTTTCTGAGACAAGGTCTCTTAGTGGAATCTCGGGCTTGCCTATCAGGCTAGGCTAGCTGGCCAACAGGCCTCAAGGATCATAAGAGTATGTAGAGGTTGTTGTTAGGTATGGTGATGGACTCCTGTAATCCCTGCACTTGGAAGCATGAGGACTGGAAGTTTGAATCCAACCTATGCTTATATATACTGCCTCATAATGAGAATACAACAAAAAGCATAAGTATATGGACATTAATGGATTACTAACCAGTTTCTGTACTTTCAGAGGGTAACACTGGTTACTACCTTTATGATTAGTCAAATCTTGCTTTTAGATCACTAACTCTTTACTTATGTAAGTAAGTAGCTCTGTTAAGTAGCTCTAGTTAACATTTTGTAGTCACAAAAACTGTATTTCACTTTATCCATAGTTATTGTCATAAAAGAGAAGAAACTAAACATCTTACCATCTGAAATACATCAGAACCTTCATCAAAATCCACCATGGCAAAAAATATCCTGTTGGTAAATGCACTGGAGTATCGCCAGGAGTTTGCCAGAATCTGGAATTCTTCATCAGCTTGCCTGAATGCAATCAAATTGGCGAAAAAAATATAGGAAATGAATTTTAAAGCCTATTCTACTTAGCACTAAAACAAAACCTCATTAAGTAACAGCAATTTTTAGTGGAAGAAATACTAAAAACTATTGTCAAATAAGTCAGATTTGGCTGATAAAGTTAGAACAAACTTTGTTTTGGTCTAAGAAAAGCTTTATCTCAAGTGTTAGAGATTTCACCAGAATTTAGTAATTATATGACTCCATTTCATACTTTGTGTCTATTTTGAATTCTAAAGCATTTTCAGTGGTCACTGAAAAAAATCTAGCTAATACTCTCCTTGAATTGTAGTGGGTTTTTAGAGATTTGTTTTTAGTTATGTGTATGTCTGTGGGTATGTGTACATGAGGGCACTGCCTGGAGAGGCCAGATCTACCTGGAGCTGAAGTTTACACGCAGTTGTAAACTGCCTAATGTGGGTGCTGGGAAATGAACCTTGGTCCTCTGCAAGATGCATACGCTCTTAACTGCTGAGCCAACTCTCCAGCCCCTGTGGCTGTCTTTATTTTTTTTTTTTTAATTTTTGAGTCAGGGTCTCCCTGTAGCCCCAGCTGGCCTGGAACTCACTATGTAGACCAGGGTAGCCTCTATCTCAGTGATTCACCTGCCTCTGCCTCCCAAGTGCTGGGATTAAAGGTATGCATCACCACGCCTGGCTTAGTTGCTGTATTTATTTCTTTTTAAAGTCTTGCTACATTGCCCAGACTGACTTTAAACTCCTGGTCTCAAATGCTCTATCTTTATCTCCTCAGTAGCAAGGATTATGAGTATATATCGCCATATCAAGTGTCCACACTTTATTTTGGTGCTGGGGATTGAACTCAGGGTCCCACACACAGACAAGTGCTCTATCAATGGGCTATACTTCCAACCCTCATGACAATTTTAGGACCCTAAATCAGCAGCGAAAATAGAACTACAATAATAGCACACTTTAAAACACATGCAGCCAGGCATGGTGGAACATGCTTATAAAAGGAATATTTTGAAGACAAAGTCAAGAGCCTCGTGTTAAAATTCTGTCTGGGGGCTAAAGGGATGGATTAGCAGTTAAAAGTACTGGCTGCTCTTGCAGAGAACCCAGGTTCAGTTCCAAGCACTCACATGGTGGCTAACAACCATCCGTAACTCCAGTTCCAGGGGATCTGATGCCCTCTTCTGACCTCTGTGGGCATTGCATGACACAGGTGAACTTACATAATACACTCATACATATAAAATAAAAGAATAAACTATTTTTTAAAGATCGTTTCTGCTTTATATAGCGAGATCCAGGTCAGTCAGGGTTACAAGGAGAGATACTGTCTCAAATGAAACAATCTAAAGGCTAGGGAAATGACTCAATCAATAAAGTGCTTGCCTTATATGGTGGTATGAATGAGAAATGTCTACCATAGGCTCAGATATTTGAACACTTAATCCCCTGTTGGTAGTACTGTTTGAGGAAGTTATGGAACCTTTAGAAGGCAGAATCTTGCTGCAGGAACTATATCACTGGAGGCAGGTTTTGAATTTATAGCCTTGATCCATTTCCAGCTTGCTCTCTTGGCTTCCTGCATATGGACAGCAATGTGATCCCCTCAGCTTCCTACTCCTGCCCCCATGCCTGTCACTTGCTGCCATATCTCCCTGCCATGATGGACTCTTATCCCTCTGGAACTGCAAGCCAAAATAAACACTTTCTGTCTGTAAGTTGCTTTTGGTCATGGTATTTTATCACAGTAACAGGAAAGTAACTAATATACCTTTAAAGCATGAGGACAGGAGTTCAATCCCCAGAACCCACATCCTTATAATTAAGGTACTGGGGAGGCAAAGACAGGATTTCTTGGGCTGGCTAGTCAGCTAGCCTAGCCTAACTGGTAAGCTTCAGCCAATGTGAGATGCCTCTCAAAGGAGGTGGAAAGCACTGCTGAGGATGACACCAGAGATTGTCCTCTGGCCTCCATACCTTGGCACACCTGAAGCACAAATGCCTCCTGAGTACTGGGAATAAAGGTGTGTACCACCATGCCTAGCAAAAAATTTTGGGTTCACTGGGTTCAGTTCCCAGCTCCCACATGGCAACTGGCAATTAATTGTTCATAACTCCAATTCCAGGGGCTCTGACACCCTCTTCTGACCTCCATTGGCATTGCACAGTATGGGTACACTCGCGTACATGTAGGCAATACACCCATATACACATAAAATAAAAATAATAAATGAGGGGCTGGAGAGATGGCTCAGTGGTTAAGAGCACTGACTGCTCTTGCAGAGGACCCTATTTAGATTCCCAATACCCACATGGTGGTTACAAACTGTCCTTAACGCCAGTTCCAGGTGAATCCGAAGCCCTCTTCTGACCTCCGAGGCAATGCACAACACAGGTGCACTCACATATTTGCAGGCAATACACTCATACACATAAAATAAAAATAATAAAATATTTAAGTGAAATTTTTAGAAATTATGGGTTCAGATAGAACATTTAGCAGGTCCCAGGCTTGGTAGTGCCTGCCTTTAATTCCAGCTCTTGAGAGGCAGAGGCAGGTGGATCTCTGTGAGTTCAAGGCCAGCCTGGTCTACATAGTGAATTCCAGGCCAGGTGGGGCTCAGGGAGACCCTGTCTCAAAAAGACCAAAAAAAGAAAAAAAGAAAATTTAGCACGTAAAGGCATGTGCCACCAACCCTGATGACCCGAGGTTGATTCCTGGGACTCACATAGTAGAAAGAGAGAACTGACTCCTGAGGGTTTTCCTCTGACTTCCTCATGCATGTTGTGGTACAGATGTGTGTGCATATATATGTAAACATATCACACATAATATAAATAAATGTAAATTAAATAAATAAAAATGCTTGGCTAGAAATGAGGGAAAGGAAGGTTGTATAGGCTAACATCAAAAAATTATTTAATTTAAAAAGGGTATTTTGGGGTCTGGAGAGATGGCTCAGCAGTTAAGAGTACTGCATGCTCTTGCAGAAGATCTGGGTTCAAATCCCAACACCTACTACATGATGGCTAACAACTGCCCACAACTCGAGTTTCAGTGGATTTGACCTCTCTTCTGGCCTCCTCGGGTAATGCATGACACGGGTATATTTACACACATGCAGGCATACCATTCATACACAGAGCATAAACTAAACTAAATAAAAATTCTAAAAAAGGGCATCTTTGACAGACATGGTACCACACACCTTTAATCCCAGCACTTGGGAGGCAGAGGCAGGTGGATCTCTATGAATTCAAGGCTGGCCTGGTCTATATTCAAAGCCAGTCAGTACTACACAGTGAGACCTTGTCTAAAAAGAAGGGAGGACATCTTTTTCATACTTCTCATTCTAACAGCATCAAAAATACAGTATTTTTCATGCTGCTATTGCTTGTTTGTGATTTGAGACAGGACCTCATGTTGCTCAGGCAACATGAACTGAGAATGTAACTGGCTACCTCTACCTCCCAATTAGTGGGATCAGAGCCTAGAACTGTTACAAAATTTTTATTTATTGAATAAGTTTAGAATATGAGTTAATTTAAAATATGATCTTATAGAAACTAAGATACCAGTAAACTTAAGTCAGTAAGAATTCCATTACTTTGTATCTAATACAGAAGTAATGAGAATTTGTGTTTCTTCTCTGCTATTTTTGTACACTTCCTTTGGAGAAAAGGTCTTGCTCTGTAGCCCTGGCTGACCTCAGACTAGCAGCAGATCCTCCTGCCTCTGCTTCCTGAGTGTTGGAATTACTGATGTAACCCACCACACCTGTATATTTGTATATATAATCCTTCTTCTATTTACATTAATTTATGCTCAGTATACATTCTCAAAGCACTACGTAGCCAAATGCCTAACACTAACTTCCAAATCCAGTAAGAAAATCCTGTATGAAAAGTTAACAAGGAGCTGAGCATGGTGACACATACCCATAATCCCAGTACTCAAGAGGCTGAGGGCATGAGGACTGCCATGGATTCAAGGTAGCTTGGACAAGTCTGGATAAAGAATGAAACCTTGGGGCTGGCGAGATGGCTCAGCAGTTAAGAACACTGACTGTTCTTGCAGAAGACCCACGTTCGAATCCCAGCACCCACATGGCAGCTAACAATTGTCCATAACTCCAGTTCCAGGGGATCCAACAGCCTCTTCTGTCTTCTGTGGGTATTGCACGACATGGGTGCACTTAGCTACATGAAGGAAATACATGCATACACATTAAATAAAAATAATAAAATATTTAAAAAAAGAGAATAAAACCCCATGTCAGAAACAAACAAACAAACAAAAGGCCAAGCCTGGTGGCTCACACCTGTAATTCCAGCACCTGGGAAGAGTCAGGAGAATCAGAAGTTCAGGGTCATTTTCAACTACACTTCAAGTTTCAGGACAGCCTGGGCTAAATGAAATCCTGTCTTTAAAATCCAAAAGGAAAGATTTCTTAAAAATCCCTTGAGATACTGAACTAGGCATATTTTATTCTTTCTCTGAGTGCCTCTCTTTCTATTAACCCCTATGCTAAAATCTATGTTAAAAATCACCTTTAAGGGCTGGAGAGATGGGTCAGTGGTTAAGAATATGGCTCTTCTTGCAGAAGACACAGGTTCAAATCTCAGCACCCACATGGCGGCTACAACTGTCTGTAACTCCAGTTCCAGGGGATTCTATGGCCTCTTCTGTCCTCCACGAGCACTGAACAACATGGGTGCACTTATATATATGCAAGCAATTTACACATACACATAAAACAAAAATAATAAATAAAAAAATCACCTTTAAGCTGGGCATGGTGGAATATACCTTTAATTCTGGCACTAAGAGGGCAGAAGCAAGTGGATCCCTGTGAGTTTGAGACCAGCTTGGTCTACATAGAGAATTTCAGGCCAGCCAGTGCTATAAAGCGAGACCCTGCCTCAAAAAAATATTCAGAATTCCTGTATACTTTTTATCTAGCTTCAGCTCTGCTTCAAAGAAAAAAAAATAAAATCTAGAAAAAACGAAACAAGAAGACAAAACTATAAAGAAGAAAAAAAATTCCCCAAAGTAAAACAAACAAACAAACAAACAAAAAACAAAAACATGAGGTTGAAAGTACTTATAAATCTTTTGGTAGTACTAGTGATTGAACCCAGGACTTCTTACAATGTTAGGCAAATACTCTATTGATGATATTCCTGAGTTACATCCCCAGCCTGAAACTACTTATTAACAATAAAACACGAGGCCAGCGAGGTGGCTCAAAAGGTAAAAACATGCAAGCCTGAGACAACTGGTGTTCTGTGTCTGAAACCTATTGTGGAAGGACAGAACTGACTCCCAAAACTTGTCCTCTAACCTCCACATGTGTACCATGTGGTACACACACACACACACACACGCACACACACGAGACACCATTATATCAATGGTAATGATATGGTGTTGGTATAAATCCAATCAAAAGGTCGTTCTTTGATTTATAAATTCACACGATAGCTACTATATCTTATTCATTCTCCCCTGTGAATGTGCACAAACAAAAATTGACTATAAAACAGTATTTGGGGCTGGAGAGATGGCTCAGTGCTTAAGAGCAATGGCTGTTCTTGCAGACTATTCAGGTTCAAATCCCAGAACCCGCATAACAGCTGACAACTCTCCATAACTCCAGTTCCAGGGGATAGGATGCCTTCTTCTGTCCTCCATGGCCACTTAACGACATGGTTGCATTTGCATACATGCACACAATACACGCATACACATAAAATAAAAATAAAGCAGTATTGTGTGTTACTATATACATTCCAAGTAAGGTATATATACATTACTGATTAATAGAGCCACTCCATGAATCTAGTTCTTCAGAGATAGAAAAATGATTAAAACCTTCAAAGTTATCTAATTTCAAAGTAGAAATAAAACAGCATACTTGCAAACGACACACTGTCTGTGAACTTGGAGAGCAGTGAACATGACAATAACAGAGTAATTTCTTGGTGGAGCTTTAACAAGGCGACGGAACTTGTCTCCATTCATTCTTATTACAGGTCTTTTATTGGTCCATTCCATCAGCTGACTGACCTTCTCAGATAACACCATCTAAAAAAGACAAAGTGAGAAAGCTATGAATATACTCAAAGCATTTAAAGTTGCTTTAGCTAAAGCTGGCTGTGGTGGGGCATGCCTCAGGTCTCAACTACTCAGGAAGCTGAAGTAGGGGGATCTGGAACCCAAAAGCCCAAGACCAGTCTGGGCAACATAGTAAGAAAGCATTTCAAAAGAGCAGCAGTAGCAGCAACAAACTCTCAACAACACATGGTAGATATGTGTGGCATAGGCCTGATTCCAGCACTCAGGAGGTGGAGACAGGATCGTGAGCCCAGTCTTCAGTCTGGGCTTCCTGGCAAAGCCCAAACCAAACCAAACCAAAAAGTTACTTTAGGGCCAACGAGGTTCAGCAGGTAAGGTTATCTGATGCCAAGGCTGAAGACCTGAGTTTGATCCCCAGAACCTACCTCGTGGAAAAAGAGAACTGGCTCCAGCCAGTTGTCCTCTGGATCCTCCACACATGGCACAAAATAAATAAATTTTTTTTTGTCTTTTTGAGACAGGGTTTCATTGTAGCCCCAGCTGTCCTGGAACTCACTATGTAAACCAGGCTGTCCTTGAACTCACAAAGATCCACCTGCCTCTGCCTCCCAAGTGCTGGGATTAAAGGCGTGTGCCATCACGCCCGGCCTAATAAATATATTTTTAAAAACTTACTATACAAAATTGTTCAGGAAAAAGTGATGGGGCGATATTGGAGGAGTTGGAGGGGAGGGAGTGGGCATGGATTTGATCAAAACACCTTATATGCATTATGAAATTCTCAATAAATTTAAAAAATTAGAAAGATTAAAAAAAAAACTTACTATAGCAAAGCAACTTACTTAAAACCAAGCTCATCAAGCAGAGGTACATAGAAAATGTGAGGCTGGGCGTGGTGACACACACCTTTAGTCCCAGCACTTGGAAGGCAGATGCAGGCAGCAGTCTATGAGTTCAAGGCCAGCCTGGTCTACATAGCAAGTTCCAGGCCAGCTGGAGCTACAGGGAGACCCTGTCTCAAAAAGACAAAAAAAATGAATCCTACAAATAAAATTTGGTAATTAGGCCTGATACTTTCTTTTTTGAGATAGGGTTTCACTATGCACCCCAGGCTCACCTCAAACTCAAAGTCCTCCTGCCTCAGTCCCAAGTTTTAGTATTACATGTATAAGCCATCACAAGTATGGCTCAAGTATTCTGTTTAAAAATTTATTCTTGGGCTGGAGAGATGGCTCAGTAGTTAAAAGCATATGCTGTTCTTGCAGAGGACCTGGCAAGTTCCCAGTTCCCAGAACCTACATGGTGGCTCACAACTGTCTATAACTCTGGTTCCAGGGAATCTGATGCCCTTCTCTGACCTCTGTGGGCATCAGGCTTGCAAGTGGCAAAACACTCATACACATTAAATAAGTAAATAAATGCCTTTAAAAAAAAACCTTAAAAAAGGCTAGCCTGGTCTACATAGTGAGTTCTAGGACAGCTGGGGCTACAGGGAGACCCTGTCTCAAAAAAAGACAAAAAAAAAAAAAAAAAAAAAAAAAAACTTAAAAAATCACTTTTAATATCCAGGCTTAGTAGCCTATACCATTAATCACAGCACTCGGGAGGCAGAGGCAGATGGATCTCTGGGTTCTAGGCCAGCCAGGGATACAGTGAAACTATTCTCAAAATTTAGTATTTTAGAAGATTTGCCGGGCATGGTGGCGTATGCCTTTAGTCCCAGGACTACTTGGGAGGCAGAGGAAGGCAGATCTCTGTGAGTTCAAGGCCAGCCAGATCTCCACAGCGAATCCAGGTCAGCTGTGGCTACAGGGAGAATCTGTCTCAAAAAGAACAAAAGAATTTAGTATTTTAGAAGATGTAAGTCGAGGGTAATGGAAGGTTAAGAAGATCAGGAGTTCAAGGTCAGCCTCAGTTACACAGCATTCAAGACCAGCCTGATTACATGAGAAACCATCTCAAAAAAAACAAAAGATTTAAGTAAACATTATACTTTAAAGTATATTACTTATTATTTAATAATATATAAAACAAATATGAAACTCTAAAACACACCTTATACAAAAATTAACTGGAGGTAGGCTGGAGAGATGGTTCAGCAAAAGCACTGTCTGCTCTTTCAGAGGACTTGGGTTCAGTGCCCGGCACCCACATGGAGGCTAACAACCACCTGTAACTTCAGTTCTAGGGGATACAATGCCCTCTTCTGGCCTCCATGGACACTGCGTGCACATGGTGTAGTTATATTCATGTAGGTAAAACACTCATACATATAAAATAAAAATAATTAAGGGGCTGGAGAGATGGCTCAGTGGTTAAGAACACTGGATGCTCTTGTTGAGGTCCTGGGTTCGAACCCAGCACCCACATGGTGGCTAACAACCATCTAAAACTCCAGTTCCAGGGAATCTGAAGCCCTCTTCTGACCTCCACAGGCACTGTACAACACAGGTGCACTTACATACACGCAATATACTCATACACATAAAATAAAAATAATAAAATATTTTAAAAATTAATTACTTAACTTAGGGACTGGGAATGTAGCTCAGTTGGTAGAGTGCTTGCCTTCCATGCATGAGGCCCTGGGTTCTAGCCCCAGCGCTCTACAAACCAGGTGTGGCAATACACACTTTTAATTCCAGCACTTGGGAGGCTAAGGCATCAGGATCAGGAGTTCAAGGCTATCCTCAGTTACTATGGAGTTGGAAGGCCACCCTGGGTCACCCTGGGTTATAAAAAGATTGTGACACCACCATACACCTGTTACTAAAATAAAACAGTGGCAGCAACAAATCCTAGAGAAGCTGTGAACAAAGTGGGTCTTTTACACACTTGCTGGTAGGGAAAGTAACATGATACAACCACTCAAGAAAACAGTTTGGGGGGGCTGAAGAAATGGTTCAGAGGTTAAGAACACTCGCTGTTCTTGCAGAAGACCCAGGTTCGAAACCCAGCACCCACATGGCAGCTAACAACTATCCGTAACTCCAGTTCCAGGGGATCCGATGGCCTCTTCTGTCCTCCGCATGCATTGCACAACACAGGTGCACTTACCTACATGCAGGCAATACACGCATACACATAATATTAAAAAAAAGAAAACAGCTGGCAAAAAATTAAGCAACTTGGGGGTGGGTACGATCAAAATACATCATATACATGTATGAAATTGTCAAATAATAAGTAAAATATATACAAACATTAATTTGTTTTAAAACCCACACAAGCAACTAAACATATTAGCTCCTCTCAACTCGGACAACAGTGGTTTGTATTTTTATTTATTTTAGTTTTATCTAGATAAGGTCTCACTAGACTTATTAGGTTTTTTTTTAAACACTCATAAAATAGAATTCTTTTCAAAATACTGCTAAAAGAAGCAATTACCTTACTTTCTGAAAATAAGCTGAAAACAGATCACAACAGATGAAGTGGTTTTAAAGTTTTACGATGAAATTGCATGAACATAGCCTGAAATTTGATAATTAGAAGTCAGAATCAGGGACGGAGGTCCACAACTGCAGAACTAACTACTTGGAAGGCTATGGCAGGAGAACTGCTTGAATCAGGAGTTTGAGGCCAGGTGAGGCAACATAGTGAGACTCTGTCTCAAAAAAGCAGAATAAGTTGTAACTGTATTCATAATGATCTATTTTTTTAATTTTTAAATTTATTTTTATGAGCGTTTTTACCTGCATGTATGTAAGTGCATCTGTGTTGTACAGTGCACATGAAGGCCAGAAGAGGGCACCAGATTCCCTGGAACTGGAATTACAGAGTTGTCAGCTGCCATGTGGGTGCTGGGAACCAAACCTCTGCAACAACAGTCAGTGCTCTTAACTGCTAAGCCATATCTCCAGACCCCCAGTGGTCTATTATTTTGAATATATCTTAAAGTAGGCCTAGCTTGAAGTGGTTTTATGGAGAAAAACTGTAGTTATTATTTGGAATGTATATTACATGTCAGAAGGCTACTCCTGTTAAAAATGTAGTTCTCCCAGTACTTGGGAGGCAGAGGCTGGTGGATCTCTGAGTTTGAGGCCAGACTGGTCTACATAGCAAGTGCTAGGCCAGCCAGGGCTACATAATGAGACCCAGCCAAAACAAAACAAAACAAAACAAAACAGATTTTCCCAACAAACTTGACTGTGTAGGTCAAGGGAAAGTTTCAAGAATATGGAATTTTAACGTATACCTTAAATGATTTTTTTATATACACTGAAGTTTGAGATCCACAGATCCACAGTTCTACATTCTAATTTTTGTGTTGGGGCTAATTTTTGCTTTGGGGGGACAGTCTCATGTATCCCTAGTTGGCCTCAACTGAACTCATTATGTAGCTGAGGATGACCTTGAATGCTTGGTCCTCCTGCTTCCACTTCCCCACTGCTGGAATTACAGATGTATTGTAGGGAGCCGCTAATCATTCAGCTGTGTCAGGCTTGTTTACTGAGTGTGTGTTATGCACACCAATATCTAATCTGCCTTATTAGGAGGAATATGTTTATATGGAGAGCCTCACAACACCTGACCTTGAGGCAATAGTGGAAGCCTTTGATCTGACCGCTCCTTGACCCTCAGATACAGGTGGGGAAAAACAGCAGTTGTAACTAATTGAGTTCTTCTGTATAAAAAGGCAGAACTGAAATAAATCGGGGCTGCAGTATTCACTGTGAGCCCTCCCAAGCATCATCTTTCCTGTCTTCTTTTATTTCTTTCAATCCTCACTCCCCCTTTCAGGTACTGTCCGTTTTGGCCGGCTGGCACCGGCAGTGTATGTCACAAAGTAATTTCTTTTCTCCAAATTTAAGGTAAAAGGTCTCTTTTCTGTGTCATTTTGAGACTGAGTATCCCTATGTAACTCAAACTGACCTCTAACTCATTATGGAGCCCTGTTCATGTTCAAAACTTATGATCTTCCTGGCTTGGCCTCCCAGGTACTGAGATTACAGGCATGTACTACCAGAAAGCTAGCTTTCTTTCTTCTACTATGTAGCCTTGCTTAACCTTGAACTTACTAGGTAGACAAGGCTGGCCTTTCACTTACAGGGTTCCAACTGCTTCTCACTCCCAAGTGCTGGTATAACAGGCATGCACCACCACACCCAAGCATAATATTTATCTTGATTAACTCTAACAAAGTAGCTAAACTCTAACCACTACAAATTCTATCATAAATACCATTCATCAAAATAGAGTATAAAAATCTAACATTTAGAACTAAAACTAGTTCTGCCATTCAGATTATTCTGAATTTCAGAAGTGATAATGCTAAGCATTAGTAATCTGAATCTTTCTAAAACATACATCCTTTTCCTCGAAAATTTGGTTCATCTCTGTTCTAGTTCACCAAGACTTAGTCATTAAAATTATTCATATTTTTAGCTTTCTATTCATCTACTGTCTTCAGCAGTACATTTACAACTCTGTCCTTGAATTAAAAATGAAACTGAACAGATCTGGAAACATAACTGACAGATAATTATGGAAGGAGACAGACCAGAGGCAGAGAAGACAGCATTCTGAATCCTTAAGTGCCATCTGTTCCATTCTCAGTTTACCTAATTCCCAAACATAGCTAACAACCTTCCATGACTCCAGTTCCAGGGGATCTGATGCCTTCTTCTGACCTCCTCGGGCCCTGCAACACAAATGCACTTATATGCATACAGACAACACACTCATGTACATAAAAAATAAAAATAAAATATTCAGAAATAAAAGGCTCGGTAGTTAAGAGCATTCACTCAATAATGAGGACTGAAGTTCAGATCCCAACCCCCAAGTGGGGCAGCTCACAAACGCTTGCAACTCTAGCTCCAAAAATCCTAACACACACACACACACACACACACACACACACGTATATACTCAGACACATAGACATACAAACACAAATACATTTTTTTTTGTTTTTTTATTTTATTTTGGTCTTTTTGAGACAGGGTCTCCCCTGTAGCCCCAGTTGGCCTGGAACTCACTTTGTAGACCAGGATGCCTTGAACTCACAGATACCCAACTGCCTCTGCCTCCCAAATACTGGCATTAAAGGCATGCACAACCAAGCCTGGCTTCAAATACCTTTTTAAAAGACAAGGTGGCCAAGTAGCTTGGTTGGTGGAGTGCTGGCCAAGCACACATGAAGCTCTGGATTTGATTCCCCAGCACTGAACATGGTCTCATTGTGTAGCACAGGCTGATCTAATAAAGCAATCTCCTTGCTTAAGCAGGTAAAAGTGGTTGCCACCAAACCTGATAGCCTGAGTTTGATCCCTGGGTTATTCATTATAGGAGAGAAATGACTCCTACAAGTCATCCTGACCTCGATGTATATCATAGCATGTGATCTTCGCCCACATACACAAATAAGTAAATAAATAAAATTCTGGGAGCTAGAGCGATGACTCAGTGGTTCAGAGCACTTGCTGCTCTTGCATAGGACCCAGGTTCAGTTACTAGCATCCACATCAAGCAGCTCAGGGCAGCCAATACTCTCTTTTGGCCTCCATGGACACTCACATATAGCACTCAAAGAGACAGACACATGCACATAAATAAAAATAGGGCTCAAAAAGACCAAAATTTTTTTTAAAGTGGGGGGAGGGGGTGAGACATGCTTTTATTTTTGTAAATATTTTAGTTTATTTATCTATCTATCTTTCATCCATCTATCTATCTATCAATCATCTTTTTGAGACAGGATCTCCCAGTAGCCCCAGCTGGCCTGGAACTCACTATGTAGACCAGGCTGGCCTTGAACTCAGATCTGCCTGCCTCTGCCCCGTGAGCAGAGGACATTCATTACCACACCTAGATAATTTATATTTTTATTTTATGTGTATTGCCTGCATGTACTAAGTACACTTGTGCTGTGCAGTACCCACAGAGGTCAGAAGAGGGTGTTGGATTCTCCTGGAAATGGAGTTAGGAATGATTGTTGGTTGCCATGTGGGTGCTGGGAATTGAACCTGGGTCCTCTACAAGAGCAGTCAGTGCTCTTAACTGCTGAGCCATCTCTCCAGTCCCAATACACCCACCTTTAATCTCTGGTACAGGCAGCTGATCTCTGAGATTGAGGCCAGTTTGGTCTACACAGAAAGCTCCAGGCAAGCTGGAGCTACAGGGAGACTCTGTCTCAAAAAGAAGAACAACAACAACAAGAACAACAACAAAGTAACATGATTACACTGACTTTGTATAGGTTGGAGAATTTGGAAAGAGAGTGAATGGGAAACTCACATTATAGGATTAAAGGAACAGTGACATATTTCACATCATTGTTGAAGTTTTTAGTATAGTTTTGTCTGTAAACAATATTCAAAAATTATAGTAGACACAGAATTTTGAATTTATATTCTAAGATATAATTACATATTTTTAGTTTGAGAATTATATCAGAGGGGTGGGAGGTCCATTCCAGAGAACCAGTCCTCCCAAGACAAGAATCTGCAGATAACAGAAGCCTCCTCCATCCCCAGCCTAAATGGCAAAGCCTCTGCCATGCACAACTTGGGACTTCAGGGGAGAGGGTTATGGAAAACGTGGTCACTCAAAGTAGACTGAAACTGCTGCCCAGCACCACAAAGTCCCCATGCTCTACTGTGCTCCACCTGTGGCTTACAGTAGGGGTCCAAAACTTCAGGCTCTTGTGATGGGATCACAGATCCAGGTAGGTCTGGAACTCTCTATGTTGATCATGCTGGCTTCCATCTCACAGAGAACCACCTGTCTCTGCCTTCCAAGTTCTGGGACTAAAGGTGTGTGCTAACACACCAGGCTAGCTTTTATGAGATAGCTCAAATATTCAAAATCATACAGAAGTTAGCTTCACCATTAATTCAGCTGAAGTTAACATTTGAAATGTTTTACTGGTATTTCAAAGCGTATGAGTTCTGTGTACTAGTAATGCAAAATGGGGGCTGGAGAGATGGCTCAGAGGTTAAGAGCAGTAGCTACTCTTGCAGAAAATCTAGGTTCAGTTCCTATCATCCACATGGTTGCTAACAACTGTCCACACTTTAGTTCCAGGTGATCTGACGCCCTCTTTGGGGCTCCATGTACTTTGCATAACACACATGCACTTATATACATGCAGGCAAAACACGAATACACATAAACTTTAAAAAATTGAAGCAAAAAAGAAACTCAAAATGTACAGGAAATAACATTAGAATGAAGGGCTTTGGTCCTTGTTTTGCAATAGTTAACTGTGTAAACTTAGGGCTAGTTTTTCTCACAAATAACTGCCACTAATCTTTTAAAGTTCTAAAAGTACATGGCTCTAAGCCACATGTTTCAAAACACACTGCTAACACACTGCTTGGATTATTAAACAGCGAGTTTAAATTTAAAAAAACCAAACTGGGTGTGGTGGCTCAAACCTGCAATCCCAATATTTTGAAAGGCTAAGGCAGGAGGATTGCCCTGAGTTCAAGGGCAGCATAGGCTAATAGTGGGAGACTGCCTCAAACGAAAACAAAAGAGCAAAGAAAACGGTATACTGTGTATCTTCCACTCCCCAGAGCCTGTGGGAGGGATCTTGGTTTTGTTATTTTGTGTCTGTCAAGCACACAGAACACAGCCCAGTATGCTTTCCATCTGCTAAACGTTTGACGAACGGGCAACAAACTGGCATTTCATGGTCTACTTCGGCTCCCGGGCGGAGAACGCTTCCCAGCACTCAGCTCTCACACATCTGGGGAGCCACAGTGACCAACAGCTTGAACTCTTGCATGCTACTCTGCCACCCAAGTCGAGATGCCCCAGCCAGACACCAAGAGGGCCAGTTCTCCAGAAGTGTACCAACTTGCAGCTCTGCAGCTTCCCAGGCCCGTGGGAGGCAGCCTGTCCCTTAATCCGCCCCGCTCTGGGACTCTACATCCCCACAAGTTCCAGTTCCTATCGGAAAAGGGCGGAACTCGCCCAAAGAACAGACCCGAGAGCTGAAAGGATGAGCAGACCCTGCCCACCCCCGCAAAAGTCGTCAGGGCTGACAAGCGCCCCCTCACCTCCTTCTTTCTTTGGGCAGAGGCCGACGGAACCTTGAAAACGAGCAGCAGCGCCACAGCCGCAGCCGCATACAAGCACCAAAGCCACCTCTGCGAGGCCATGTTCGCTCTTCTGCCCCGGCAAGGCGAAACTTTCCTCCAGCACGGCCGGAGGGTGGGGCGTGAGAACGGTTGCACAGAACACTGGCCGCTCCCCATTGGCCCGGCTCAGCCCTGCCGGGCGACCCCTCACATGACATCACGCGCGGCTCTTGCGAGACGCCCGCTAAAAAGGAGCTCGCTTCCGATTGGCCCACGGGAGCCAATAGGAAAAGGATAATCTGGAGGTTTCTCATTGGTCCGCTAGTAAGGCTGTACCGCCCCTTTCGTATGCTTAAAGACGTCGCGCACTGCGAGGTTCTAACTGCGCATGTGCAGTTGTCAAATGTTGCCTTTTTTTTTTTTTTTCAAAGTCCAAAATGGCTTGAAGGGTTTCAAACGAAATCCTTCCCGAGTAGACTGTTTTAGAATTGTTTGAAATTCGAGCCAGGCTAAGTGATGCACGTCTCTAATTCAAGTACTTGGGAGGTCCAAGAGCATAAAGAGTTCAAGGCCATCTTTCAGGCAGAGCCAGTGCTCAGGGACAGCCTGAGCAACACGATTCTCGTTTTTTTCTTTGCTTTTTTTTATTTGCATTGTGTACAATGAACAAATGAATATGCCAAAACATGTTTTGAACCAATAAAAAACTTTCAAAACATTGAAAGGGACAGATCAGAACTGCCATTGAAAACACTCATTCACACATGAGGATTTTTTAAAGGTTTTCTTGACTTTCACCTGTTAGATGAGGCATAAACAAAAAGTTATGAGGAATAGAAAACATTTTAAAATGACCATCAACTTGTAAGAGATTTGTTAGGTTTTGGCAGGTTATTGGACAGTTTCCTTCTTTCATCAAACTACTAAATAACAGTCAGTACAGACCTGCGCTGCCCTTCTGTGAGGAGAAATAGAGACTAGATCATCTCTATGAATGACTTAAAAAGTAGCCAGTTTTAGCCGGGCATGGTGGCACACGCCTTTAGTCCCAGCACTGGAGAGGCAGGCGGATCTCTGTGGGTTCAAGCCAGCCTGGTCTACATAGCGAGCTCCAGGCCAGCTGAGGCTTGCAGGAGACTCCGTCTAAAAAAGACCAAAAAAAAAAAAAAAAAAAAAAAAAAAAAAAAAAAAAAAAAAAGTAGCCAGTTTTGTGTAACTTTCAAGACACAGGTAGTAACTGTAAGGAGTCAAGATATAGTTCTTTTACTTCTCAACATATGGCTAAAACGCTTCACTCTGGAGAACACATTAGCCTGGTGTTGAAAAGAATTTCGTGTCTTGAAAAGAGCTCATTACTGCTACTGCTTCGAAGAAAACATATGAAATGAGGGAAAACATGACACGTATAGGTGCCAATACACATACATGCAAACAAAGAAACTTTCACTAACACAGGGGCAGTCACATGCACACCATGCTACCAAGTTAACCCCATCACAGTTCTTACTGGTTCTATCTGAATGCCCTCAAAAGTCCCTCACTACTGTCCAACACCTGAACAACTCAAGACAGCCTGAGCAACAGGATTCTCATATTCTCATTTTTTTAAGTTAAAAAGAAAAAGAGCCCAGGTGGTGACTCAGGACTGTCACTCCAAGTGACTCAGCACTTGGGAGGTGGAAGTGGAAGTGGAGGCAGGAGGATTAGCAGTTCAAGAATTCGGGGTTATTCTCAGCTGTGAGTTCGAGGTCAGCTTGTGTTACATGAGACCATTTCTAAAACAGAACAAAAAAAAACTTTTTTTGAAAATCACTTCTTTTGTATAATGTTGTAGAAGAATAGTAAATGTTCACATGAGTTTATAAGAGTTTAGATCCTCATCTAGCCTCCAAAGTATTTTAAATTAAAATGAAAAAAAGTAAAGGCTGTTATCCAGGCAAGATCGCTGCAAGTTTAAGGCCAGCCTAGGTTACCTAGCTGCACCTTGGCTCAAAAAAAGTGTTTGTGGTCTGTGAGATGGCTCATCAGGTAAAGGTGCTTGCTGCCAGGCCTGATGACCTGAGTTGGATCTCTGGAAACTACCCAAAACTTTTTTGAAACTAACATCTTCTTTTGTTTTGTTTGTTTGTTTTGTTTTTTAAAAATAATTTATTGGAAAGAGTACATGAAGTTATCACTTCTTCTTTTGTATAATGAAGGAGAGAACCAACTCCTGCGAGTTGTCCTCTGACCTCCACACGTGTGCTGTGGCATACATGCCTCTTCTAGTAAATGATAAATAAACCAATGATGGGAGAGGGGGAGACATTTTCTTCAGTAATGTAGCCACTGGTTAAATGCCCACGTTCCTGCAAACAAACTTCACCCATGCTCCTGTGAAAAATCATAATGAAACTGATTAGCTCACACACACAAAGATATCAAAGAGAGAGGGGCTAGTTGGGAAGAGGAAGATTAGTGGGCATGAAATGGGAATAAGATAGGGTTAGTGGAGGGTAAGTGGAGGCGGTAGTGATAGTGAATATGATCAAAATACATTATAAAGATGTATGAAAATGGCATAATGAGATTCTTTTTTTTTTTCGGTCTTTTTGAGACAGGGTCTCCCTGTAGCCCCAGCTGTCCTGGAACTTACTATGTAGACCTGGCTGGCCTTGAACTCACAGAGATCTGCCTGCCTCTGCCTCCCGTGTGCTGGGATTAAAGGCGTGTGCCACCATGCCCAGCTAGATTCATTATTATGCATAATTAATATAGGCTATAAAAATATCAAAAAGTCAAAACCAAATTTAAATAGTAATCTAAAATTTAAAAAAAACATGCCAAGAAATAAAGCAACTCCAACAGATAACACACCCACCCACACCCACACCCACATACACACAGTATCACCACCACCAACAAAACCAGAAAATGCATAGAAAAGATAATCCAGAAGCCAATTAAATTGGCTACCTATAGCAGGAAATCGTGTGGAAGCAAGTTAAGGAAAAGAATGACATTTCTTCATGAACACTAGTCTGCATATTTTGCCTTTTGTCATAATATTAGTTCTTAAATAACCAAAATATAAAATCAAGTCAGTTGTACAAGATTTTAAGAAATGTCCTGGAGATGGATGCTGGTGAGGGTTGCATAAAAATATGAATGTTATCAATGACACTGAACTCTAGGTTAAAGTAAAGCTAAATTTATAATATCTAATTTTAGGAAGCAAAAATGTTTCAACAAAAGCAAAACCACAAAGCCAGTTGTGGGTAGTGGTACATGCCTGCAATCACAGTATGTGGAGGCTGAGGCAGGAGGATCATGATTTTGAGGGCAACCTAAACTACATAGATAGAAAGACCCTAAACTACATAGACAGACCCTGTCTCAAAACCCAAAACCAGTCAGGTGTGGTGGTGCAATACCTTTAATCCCAATACCCAAGAGGCAGAGACAGGTGGATCTCTATGAGTTCAAGGCCAGCCTAGTCTGGCCAGCCGAGTGAGTTTCAAGCCG